GCTGCGCCTCGTCGGGAGCGTTCCGGGGGTGCCGGGAGCGTATGCCGAGCGGCAGCCCCCAGAGGCCCCAGTTGTGGCGGGGAAGCCAAGGAGTTTCCCAGAGAGCAGAAGGTCAGGGGCGTCGACAGGGGGGCAGCAGGGTGAGTGGGGAGCGTCGACCCCAAAACGCTCATTCATCGCCAATCTGGGTAATTATGGCCCCCCACCCCGCCCAGGAACGCTGGTTTTTGTTCGCTGCCGAGGGCCTAACGCCGATCCATCGGCGACGCATCCCCGGTTCCAAGGCAGCGTTTGCCCCCTGAGCCAGTCCATCCGACCGTTCGCCCTCACAGGCCAAGGTGTTGGCCCCGGGGCGCGTGGTGGTCGTTGTCATCGCCCATGACCGCGAAGATCTTCTGCAGATCTGCCTGGAGGCGCTCCTCCGCCAGAAGGACGTGCAGGACGTGTCACTGGCCGTGTCTCTGGACGACCGCAAGTCGTTTCCCAAGATGGACGCTGTTGTGAAGAAGGTCGGTGGAGAGGCGCGCATTGCCGTCTGGCACAAGCCCGAGGTCTGGCACCACGCGAAGGAGTCCGTGCAGGCGCAGTCTGTCTCGAAGATCTCCGAGCACTTCAACTTCGCCCTCCGGGAGGCGTTCGACACGGGGGGGTTCCAGTTTGCAGTTTTTTTGGAGACGGATTTGAAGGTCGCACCTGATTTTGAAGAAGAAAAAGTTGCATATACATAACCTTTCGGAGGTCCGCACGATCTCTTGTATCGGCGCTGGGACATCCCTGGCGGCGCCTCCAGCGCCGACTCATCACATCAACGCGGACCTCAGAGGCTGAAGTAACCCAGCACCCCGGATAATAAAGCATCCCCCCCTTGACCCCTGAGAGTTGGTTATCCCTCGCCAAGACAGAGTTGGTCGGGCGAAAGGGGCGGCGAGGCCGAACTGCAGCATCTCCGTGGAAAGTGCGATTCGAAGATGCCCTTACGTTCGGTAGCAACACTATCACGAACGTGTGGCTATATAATACTATTTCTCAGGTGTCGTGTTCCTCCGACCCCTCCAAGGAGGCACCGCTAGAGCGAGCAGGACATCGGTATACCATACTAAAAGTTCATCGTGCATAAGAGTTGATGGGATAAAAAATAGTATCCCCCGAGCCCCGAGCTTTCCTATCTTCACCCTTTGTTTATCAGGGGCATAGGGTTATGTGTATGTAGTTGTTTGCTCTTCTATGATTTCCTCTGGTATTTCCGCTCAACTGCATGGCTCCTCGAAGAGGACCCTTCTCTCTTCTGCGTTTCCGCGTGGAACGACAACGGCTTCCAAGAGCTCGTGGCTGACGAGAGGCGGCTCTTCCGCACCGACTACTTCCCCGGGCTGGGCTGGATGATTCGCGAGGGTGACGCAACGTCCGCCGCTGTCCCCCAAGATACGGCGCGTTCCAGACAGGGCCTTGCCGTCGGCGCGTCCTGGCGGATGGCTGGCGGAAGGCGCCGGGAGTAAACGCGAGACGTCAACATGTTTTCGGCGGCGAGCGAGGGGGGGGAATGAGAAGGAGAAGGCCTTCTCAGAAGGTGGTGGGACTTCTCAGAAGCTCTCGCGCCTTCTGATAATTGTTGTTCTGTCTTCGGGGAAGGCCCAGGAAACTTCTCAGAAGGCCGGGGGACTTCCGAGCCTTCTGAGAAGGCCCGCCCTTTCTCACTTCCCCCCGTGCGCGCCGCCGATCCTGGGAAGCGGATGAGGAAGACGAGGAGGAGGAGGACAACACCAAGTACGAGGAGAAGGAGGAGGAAGAGGACACCGGGGACGAGGCGGGGAGAGGAGGTGGGGCAGATCTGGAGAGGAGAGGAATAGAGAGAGAGAGAGACAGGACGAGAGAGCGGGAGGCGGAGCACGAGGTTTTGCAATGATTTTCGGGGCGCTCTCGGGCACACTCGGGGCCTCCTTGGGTTACCTGGGGGCTCTCTTGCGGCCATCTCGGGTGTCTTCGGCGCCCCTCGGGGTCTTGGATCCTCTCGGGCCGTCTGGGAGCGTCTCTGGCTCATCTCTGACCCTCTTGGGCCATCGTGGTGCCCTCCGGGGCTGTGCCAGCCCCCATGCAGGCCCTCGTCGGGTCGTATTGGGCCCCTCGAGGGCTGTCTGGAGAAAATCTTGGGCACTCCTTAGCAGTCGTGGAGTCTCCTTCGGCTGAGCAACGTTGGAAGCTAAGCCACTCTGAAACTTGAAGCGGAGATTTGAAAAGCCCACGAAAGTGTTCAGGATTCGGAGCTCTGGGAACCGCTCGGGTCCTTTTCTGACTGGGCCCCTCGTGCGCTTCTTGGGGTCTCCAGCGGTCGTCCTAGAGGCCCCCTGGTCCGTCGTGGCGGCCTCCCGCCGGGAAGCTGGACACACCTGGCGGAGCTGGCCTGGGCGACAGCCGGATGCTCTTGTGGTCAAGTGTTTCTCCAGCGCGCGGCCCGTCCGTGGCCGTGCAGGCCCGGCTCCCGCGCCTGCGTCCAGCGCGTGGCCTCAGGGTGTTCTGCATGTGCGCGCAGACATCCGACGATGTGACGGCTTCACTCCGCAGCCCCAGAGCTGCCGACCTCTTCATACGTCGTCCGCGCGGGCAGGTTTGCATCCCAGGTTTAAGTCGGGCGTGTCCCGCTAGGAGGAAAATTCAGAAATATTCTAAAAAATAGTCAGGGAATGACTTTTTGACTATTTTTGACCATGGGGGGGGAATTGTTCGAGTATTTTCTATGTTTCGTCCCAAATCCGCCTGTAGGAGGAAACGCCCAACCTAATCCCAGGTCCGCGTTGCACGGGTCTTGGGGCTCAAAATTGGTGCCTGGCGGCAGCAGCCGAGGACATCCCGCCCAGATTTCGAAGGCCGTATTGTCAGAGCCATGGCAAGCCCGCGTCCTGTTGCAACGGGGCCCTCCCAGCCAGGGCGGCACCTGGGCACCTGGTTCGGCCGCGGGCCTCGAGGGGGCCCAGAGCTTTCCGCGCTCCCCCCGGGGGTCTTCTCGAGGACTGCCCTCGCCAGCCACGGCCGCTCCCTTCAAAGCGCGAGAATCGAGCAGGCCAGGGGGAGGGTTCGGCAGGGGAGAAAGCAAACACCGATGCCAGTACTCCGAGTTTCTCAACAAGCGTCGGGGGGGCGTCACCCCAGCGGGGGTCAACATCGCCTCGTCGTCGCGCCGCGACGGGGGTCGGAGCGCCTCTGGCGCGCGGTGGCTGCCCGCGACGGGGGTGGGGTGGCGCCCCCCCGACGTTTATGAAGAAGCCCAGAGTACCCTTCCCTCTGTTGCACGCTTTGGCGCCTCCTGTGTGCCCTCGTCTCTCGTCGCCGCGGCCGGGTCCGCCTCGGAGTTCATTGTCGGGGGACACCCCCGGGAGAGGCATGGGGGAGCAGGGGTATCGGTCGAGAGGCAGGGGGTGCAGCGGCATCGGTCGGCAGGCTTCTGTTCCTCCCGGCTGGGGCATCACTCAGGCGATTGCAAGCATGGATTTCATGGGGCGTGGATCAGCCACGGATCCCGTTTCCACGGGAAATCTCAGTTTTCCGCCGCCGAGCGAGGCGGCATTGGCCGCATTTTGGGTAGGGTACCTCCCCCGATCCATGGCTTTGGCGACCGTGCTCCACATCCATGGATCGCTAATCCATGCTTGCGCGCCCCCGAATCACACGCTGGTGGCCCCAAGGGGCCCGCGAATCCAGAAGGGCACGTGGCAGGAGATCAAGGGCAAGTGGCCCAGGTGGCCAAGCACGGGGTGGGACCACTGGATCCGACGCGGTGCCGGCCTGAGGCCGCGGGAGTGCGTCGCCCCAGAGGTATCCAGGACGTTTCATTTCGACGAGAAGGGCACGAACGTGAAGAAGGCGTCGCCCCTGGCAAGGATGCTGAAGAGGATGGCCACCAGCAAGTTGCCTCCAGGGCAGCTCGGCGACGTGTCGTACCTTCTGAAGCACGAGTACGAGCCGAGGCTGAAAGAGCTCATCGGTAGTGCCAAGCTGGTGGAGAAGGAGAAAGTCTCCAACAGCTTGCCGACGGGACACACCTACATGGTGCCCTACACCCGAGAGGACTACGGAGAGCTTGCAAAAAAGCTCGACATCTTCCCCAGCATCCCTCGGACTGCCCGGCGTGGGGTCATCATCACGTTTGCCCCCTGGTCGCACGACGTCTTCCTGCTGGTGGACCGCCGCGAGGGCGCCGACGTCCTGCCCGCGGCGCAGGCGATGAGGCCGCACCCGGATCGCCTGGTGGCCGCGGCGGGCCCCGGGGAGTCGTGCGCCGACTTTTGCCGGTCGCGCGGCATGCAGTGCCGGGCGGGCGAGCTGGAGTTCGTGAACACCTGCGAGGAGATGAGGAAGGTGTTCCCGTGCCGCGAGGGCTGTGGCCACCAGGTCGGCGACGAGATCCCCTGCCACGTGCACGACGCGAAGCGGGACACCGCCTTCCAGTGCCTCGTCGCGGACGGCGGGACCGGCGCGAAGTGCGAGGCGCGGAACGCCGCCACCACGCGCCTGTGCGCCTGCGTGCCCGTGTGACGCCTCGCACGCCCCAGGTCACGATCCTCTTGGAGACGATCATCGAGCATTGGCCAAGCGTTGTGGCTTGCCCATAGGCCCACCGAAGAATGTGCTAAGAATCCGCTTTGGTTTGCACGACACGATCTTAGATATTTGCATGCTGAGACTGTGTTGTTTTAGTACATAGGCTTTAATTCTAAGAACACAGTTTCTGTTATTCGATTATTCTTTTACTCAAAGAACTGTTCGTGGTAGGCCTATGATATTGCCGGGACTGCTGGCTCTTGCTCAAGATCATTCCCGAGGCTGGGCTTTGCACGCATCCACCGCCTGGCGAAGCGATCTTCCTGGTCCTCTGCAGGCGGTCCACATGGATACGTCTGGGCCCCCATGCGGCCCGAGCATATCTGCATGCACCGCCCCTTCGTGGTCCTGGGACATCGGCTTGGTTGGCGATGGAGTTGTACCAGGGAGCTGGAGCCCGAGCAAGAGCTGGCTACACATTTATGGCCACATGTATCTGCAGCGCTCGACCCTTCGAGAGCCGTGTACGCCGTGCTCCCGCATGTGTATCCAGCGCGTGACTTCCAGACGTGGCTTATGTGAGTTTCCAGCTTCCTTGTGCAAAGCTCCGCCTCGTGTGGGAGACGATTCTTGCACCGGCGAGGTCGAGCCAGCTGGCCTCCTCGCACCCTGGGCGGGCGGAGTCGCTCTCAGCACGCTCTTCTCGAGGAGTGCGGTGGGGGCGTTGGTTAGAGAATGCGCCCAGGATGCTGCAGACCCTGGAGGATTCCTTATCTGATGAGGGCGGCGGTGATATCCACGGCCAAGCCTCGATTGGAGTTCCACCGGCCTCCAGACCCCACCCTGGATTCCTTTTCCAAGGGTTCCTTATCCAATGCCCCCACCGTATCATCCCGCGAATGACTCCACAATCCTACACTTTCGGAAACCCGCCGGCTCCAGCGCCGACCCCAGAAGTCCGCGCGCACCTCCGAACGTTGGTGTTTTTTTGTTGTGCAGTTTCCAGGGGGACAGCGCTGGCCAGAAGCCTGAGACTGCCACGGCCGTGGCATCCGCGCGCTCGCGCACAATACAATCTATAGCTCATGCCGCTTCCTGTTCGTCCAAACCGTGGAGGCCTGCGCCGCCGTGCCTCCGTGGCCGGGCGCGGGCCGCCGCCGCGTTCCGCCGCGCGTTCCGCCGCCGAGGGCGCTCCAGGACGCCGCCGCGGCGCGCCCGCCGCGGAACGCCGCGCGCCCCAGACCCCGTCGAGCCTGGACAAAAAGCGTGGAGACCGCTGTCTGTCCGAGGAAGGCGTCCAGTTACACCACCACCGTGCCAGGCCAGGGCCATCCCAGGCCCGAGGGTGGTGTGTAGACCCTCCTTGCCTCGGCCTTGAGGGCGCAAGTACACACCATGCCAGGGCCAGGGCGGTCCTGGCCTGGCACGGTGGTGGTGCGTAGACGCCTTCTGCGTGTTCTGCTCCTCCAAGCGCGGAGGCCTCGAGCCGCTGAGCTTCCCCGCCGCCTGCAGGCCTGCCGCACGGGGCCCGCCGCTGCCGTGTGTGCGTGCCCTGCGTCCGTCGGGGGCCGCCGAGGCCGAGCCGGTCCCGTCGGGCACCGGCCCGCAGTTCTCGAGGGAGGATAAGCACGGTGACCACGGCCGAGATGTCGTGGGATCTTGCCGGCGCCGATCTCGGTCAGGGTCCATGCTGGCCGTCGCCGGGGAGCGAGGAGGATCCACGAACCGCCGATGGCCAAGATGGACGATGGCCAAGATCGGCACTTGTGTTTCCCCGTTCCGTCTTGGTCATGGTCATCGATCTCTTTCTCCAAATTCCCCCTTTCACTGATCCGCAGTCCCCCTTTATCCCGCCCGTCTCCCCCATTCTCCTCGTCCTCAGCTCTTCTCTTCTGCCCCTCTCCCCCCACAGGGCCAGACTCGATTCGATTGACCTGGTTCGATTGTCGAATTTGCCCGGGTCGATCCGATTCGATTTCTTGGCGGTACAATGCGGCCCGATGTTCGCATGGCGTTGTTGTGCATGTTGGCGCAGCCGATCCGATGCGATCTCGAGTCCGTGCCGATGCAGCCCGATCCGACGCACATCTCGATTCGAACAGACGTCTCCTCTGCCTCACAGTCCCCAGCCTCCCTCGTGCCACCCTCCGATCATCTCCGATCCTCCATTCCCCCCTCGTTCCTCCTCCCTGCTCCCCTTCACCCGTCCTCCCTTCCACAGTCTTTACTCCTCACACCTCCTTCCTGATCCTTCCTCCCCCCTCTTCCCCTCTCCTCCGTACTTCACCCTCCGTTGGGATCCCCGCCAGTACCCCACTGGAAGCCTCTGAGGCCCCCCTGGCCCCCGAGTCCTGGACCAGACAGCTGGTGGAGCCGCGCTCTGTACCCCTCGGGGGGGCCCATCGGCGTCGGCTTCCACACCACTCGAGAGATCCGTGTTCCCGCCCCCGAGGCGGCGAGGGAACACAGCTCTCCCAGGTTGTGGCGGGTCGGCTCTCTCCTCGTCCTCCCTCCTGCCACGCCCCGCGCTCGAGCTTGTCGAGCGCCAGCGGGCTGCACCATCTTGGTGGGCTTTTGCGCTCCACTCCAGCGCCTGTTCCCTTTTGGAACCTTTCGGCCCCACGCTCCGCGCGAACACGATGATGAGGCTGAGCAGTAGGGGGTGAGGAACGAAGGAGTGAACGGTGGAATAGGATAGGGATGGGGGAGAATAGCGAGGAGATCGAGAAGGACAGTGATGATGGGAGAATGGGGAGAGGAGGAGGAGGAGGAGGAGGAGGAGGAGGAGGAGGAGGAGAGGAGGCGGCGGAAGGAGGAGGAGGAGGAGGAGGGAGGAGGAGGGGAGGAGGAAGGAGGAGGAGGAGGTAGGAGGAGGAGGAAGGAGGAGGAGGAGGAGGAGGAGGAGGAGGAGGAGGAGGAGGCGGAGGAGGAGGAGAGGAGGAGGAGGAGGAGGAGGAGGGAGGAGGCGGAGGAGGAGGAGGTCGGAGGAGGAGGAGGAGGAGGAGGTGGTGGAGGTTGAGGAGGCGGAGGAGGAGGAGGAGGAGAGCAGGAGGAGAGGAGGAAGAGGCAGACGAGGAGAGACGAGGAGGAAGACGAGGAGGAGCGAGGAGGAGGAGGAGGAGGCAGATGAGGAGGAGGCGGAGGGCGAGGCGGAGGCGGAGGCGGAGGGAGGAGGGCGGAGGAGGGGCGGAGTGAGGAGGAGGAGGCGGAGGCGAGGAGGATGAGGGGAGCGGAGGCGGAGGCGGTGGCGGACGAGGAGACGAGGAGGGGGGCAGGGGACCCGCGAGGAGGGAGGAGGAGGAGGGAGGGGAGGACGAGGAGGGTGGAGGAGGGCCGGAGGAGGAGGAGGAGGTAAGGGAGGGGGAGAGGGGCGAGGGGGCGAGGGGGCTGAGGGGAGAGGCGGGGTGGAGGAGAGAGGAGGAGGCATGGCAGAGGAGGAGGCGGGAGGCGGGAGAGGCGGGAGGAGGCGAGGAGGCGGAGGGGAGGCGGAGGAGGCGGAGGAGGGCGGAGGAGGAGGAGGCGTAGAGGAGGCGGAGGCGGCGGAGGCGGAGGCGGAGGCGGAGGCGGAGGATGGGAGGAGGGGAGGGGAGGGGAGGCGGAGGAGGAGGGAGGCGGAGGAGGAGGAGGAGGAGGAGGAGGAGGAGGAGGAGGAGGAGGAGGAGGAGGAGGAGGAGGAGGGAGGGAGGGAGGAGGGAGGGAGGAGGAATTTCGAATTGCGACCTGATTCGCCACAGACAGCGGTCAGATAATGGCGGCACTCAGCTGGCTTCATGCAAACGAGCATTCGAAAGCATTAAAGCACGGGCGCCAAGGAGAGTACATGTTCACGGCCCAGCCACCCCAGTAAGTCCTCCCACCGACCAAACCCTCCCACTAGGTATGACAGGTTGGCGCCGTGTGTCGCCGAGGCACGACCAGGCTCCGACCCCAAACGGGCGGAGTACATGTCAAGTCTACTCCGATCCCACCCAACCACTGTCCCATCCCCGACAGCAACTCTTGCCGAAACAGGCGCAGCCATTAACGGTGCACGAGTGGGGGATGAGTGAGGGGTGCATGTAAGAGCTGGAGAGGTGGCAGGGGCGAAGGACATCGCCTCTCAGCGAGTCCGCTGCGGGCACCATCGTGCCAGATAAGCATGGCGGGGCACGCTATTCGCACTCTCGGCCAAGCCGCCAGCACATGAGCACCAGCAAGTGACACGCACCACAAAATGCAAAGAGACGGTCCTGACAAACGAACTCCACGATGTCCGCAAACAGTGGGCGAGCAAAGTAGCGACAACAAGAGGCAGCAACCCTCCCCTTCTACCCCTTCACTGCAGCAACCCGACCCTGCTACCCCTTCTCTGCCGCTCGCCGCGCGCGTGGAAAAGGTGCGGAGGTGGAGGCGGAGGGGAATACATGAAGGTGATACCCCATGGTCCCGAGGGGATACACGCGACGTCGCATTTAAGCCATCGTGGGCACCCGTATGGGCTCTACGGGTCTACCCCCTCGGGAAATAATAGGCACTGATGGGCGGCGTGGCATTCGCCTCTCCGCTTGTCCTCTGCGGACACCACATCTCCAGCTCAGCATGGCGGGGCACGCTATTCGTACTCTCGGCCCGCGGCCAGCTCGTGGGGTCAAGCATGTGACATCATGAGGCAAAGCAGCCGCCCACCCTTCTACCCCATCACTGCCATGTGCAAGAAAGGGCATGCAATCCTGCAGCCCAACCCTGCTACCCCGTGACTGCCACTCACAACACGCATGAGAGGAGCAGGGTGAGAAGGGAAGGTTACAGGAGGGGGGGAGGAGGAGGCTGAGGAATATTGAGCATTCCTGTCATCGACCTACCCCTTTGCTGGGCCGAGTCGAACAGGTGAAATCTGAAATTTGGATCCGTGGTCCATGGTGCAACAACACGAAGCCTGGCCTCACGCTCAGCCTCTATCTTCGCCTTTCGCCGTCCACGGGCCTCTTGCCTATTCACCCTGATACGCTGCAGCTGACTCTCTGGCAGTGTGGCAGTAGTCAGCGGTGCTGGCCCCCGGCTCTGCTCATCCAGAAACTCCTTCGCGACAACATATTCCTCCTCACACCAGGCTGCCTGACCTGCCTCCGCCTCGGCCTCCACTTCCTCAGCCAGTGGGGACTGGGAAGCGACTGGTTCCGTCGTTGCCTCCTGTTGTGCAGGCACGGGCACGAACCTCCCCATCTCTGGGTCAGGACGGGCGCGCTTTTGGGCTCTGGACACAAAATCTGGGGCCCACGACTCCTCTGTGCCCGCGTACGGATCCCAAGCAACCCAGAACTGTAGCAGCTCCTGGCGCGTCGCTTCCTCATCGCACATATCACACGGGAACTCCTCATCATGTGATCCAGACTCGTCGTCGAACATCGCACTGATAGTAGTGGCGATGCAGTCCGCGATACATCGGCATAACCCAGTCGGATACGTTGTTTTCTGAGCCGTTCGCCAA